TACTTCCTGGTTTATGAAACAGAATATTAAAAAAGACATGAGACTTCATTAAATTAGTAACTTTTACTGCTTCATCAAAGATATTCTTAAGTGAGTCTGACGTTATTTTTACTGCATGTGCATGGTGGTGAAGATTACCGTGAAGGTAACAGTTTGGTGCCACTACTTTGATTCAGGCTAAGGGCCAGCAGTTTGACCCACCATTGCCTCTGCACCACCACTACAAGTAACAACACAGTGAAAAGGGCAAATAACATCTTAGTATGATTACGAAAACAGTTTGGGCTTCACAGGCTTCCTAAAAGAGAATTCCAGGGTTCCTCAATCACCCTTTAAAAACCAATACCTAGATTACCAAAACACAATCATTTTCAAAATTTCTCTGTAAACACTGAGCCCATGTAACTACTCTAACCCCAAGATATAGGGAGGAAACCCAACCCCTCCTAGAACAACAGTGTGGTGCCTGGAAAGGGAGGCTCAGGTATTCTGCATTATCTGAAAAACGGACTGACTTAGATGGTCCTCAATTTTTTTCTCCCATTCTCACACCAAAAGTCTAGGAGAGTCTGTGCCAAACTTCAAATTACAAGACAGGAAGCAAGTATGGAAAGACAATAATGATACTGAAATGATTTTTATCAGATAACTGGTTTCTTTAAGGTTTTTTTCAAAATGTGAATTTTATACAGCTTAATCCCATTCTATTTCAGAAGCTGAAATAATTCATTCTTTAAACCAACAGTCAGATCCTAACCACAAAACTGTATTCCGTTAGAAACACTATTTTTTTTTACACGAGAAAATTTCACCTCTTCAGCATAAAAGAAAGATTTAATAATACTACCTCATGTACAGATTTGGTACAATTCAAAGTGTTTCTGATTTGATAAAATACAAAAGAAGCAAGAAACATCTATTTTGTTCACCATTGTATGTCCAGTACCTAGCTCTGCCCTTGTATAAAATAAGATGTTCAATAAACATTGCTGAATGCTGGGTACTGAAGTGACTGAAATGAATAAGAACCCTGTTCACCAGACTCTTAGTGCTCTTCCTACTATGTAAAATCTTTTTCATCATTCTCTAAAATAACGTCTTAGGGAACCTAAAGGAGCTATTACAATTTACCTTTAGAAGATCATTATCTGTTCCACTTGAAATTACACTAGAAAGCCTCCTATGAATTAGATGTTTTATAGGTTTTCATTTAGATCACATTTCATCATTTTTTAAAAAATACATTTTTATTGATTTCAGAGAGGAAGGGAGTGGGAGAGATAGAAACATCAATGATGAGAGAGAATCATTGATCGGCTGCCTCCTGCACACCAACTGGGGATTGAGCCCGCAACCCGGGCATGTGCCCTTGACCGGAATCGAACCTGGGACCCTTCAGTCTACAGGCCGACGCTCTATCCACTGAGCGAAACCGGCTAGGGTGTCATCATCATTTTTTAATATTTGCTATCTGAATTAAGCAGTAATTTCCATTCCTATATGAAGTGACAGTAAGATACTAATCTAACTCAATCATCATACATTATACTATCCTCACACAGACACTATACTCAATATTTCATTTTCTCAGATGATTCAGAATGGCTCTTAATTTCTTAGTTTCTCGGGTTTATATTTGAGACACCTTGCGTTATAAGAAGTTGAGATATAAATACGAAGGAGCCCTAGCTGGTTTGGCTCAATGGATAGAGCGTTGGCCTGTGGTCTGAAGGGTCCGGGTTCCATTCTGATCAAGGGCACATACCTGGGATGTGGGCTCGATCCCCAGTAGGGGGCGTGCAGGAGGCAGCCGATCAATGATTCTCTCATCATTGATGTTTCTCTCTCTCTTTCTCTCTCTCTCTCTCTCTCCTCTCTGAAATCAATAAAAATATTTTTAAAATAAAAAATAAATATGAAGGAGACTATGTAGTGCTTTCAATAACAATTTGTCACCATAGCTTTTTCTTTTTAAAATTTTCCTGTCGTTTTGACATTTATCACTTTCGCTCACAAAAGCACAATGTAGAAAACCTCAGGTACTTGCACTATGTAGTTATTTAGCTTCTGGATTAAAAAAGATTAATAAAATTTAAACTAATTAAGGCGAGCAAGTACAAACTAAAATTCAATCATAGAAATGGTTTAAATTTAAAGAATATAATTTATCAATTTAGGAATTGAAGCTACTTCAATCAAATCACATTTCATTTAAAATACTGCTGTAAACATAACCTCTTTTCATTCCATACAAACTGTTATTCTGCAGAAAAACATGACCTACCAAGGATATAGCCAAAGGAAATGGCCTTCTGTTGTAATATAAGGGATTTGAACTAGACTTTTTTTTTTTTAACTAGATAGTCTTTAAAGAAAATAAAATTGCCAGTGAAGACTTTATAGGGGACCATGGCCCCATCTTCTCTGGAGGTTTAGAAGAAAAGATGTTTCAAGGGTTTGGGATGGCTTACATTTGGCCTCCCATATATGGACTGAGACAGAATCAGTTCAAAGGTCAGTCTGAGCCAAGGGATTCAAGCCCACTCTGTCCTCTTGCAAACTAGTCATTAGCAATCTGCATCCTTCTGCTCTGCAGCTATCCAGCCCCTGCTTTGGTAATCACCAACCTTATCCTTGAAATTACCTTAACTGCTAATTAACATGTCAGTTGTAGAGAATTATTTCTTCCAACTACTAAAAACATTTGCTTCTCCAGAGTGTTCTGCAGTCCTTTAATCCTGTGTTCTAACATTACCAGGAAGGGCAATATTTTGTGGTGCAATCAATATCTGTCCTATTAACAATGCCCTGCTCCATTGTTTTATCCAAACATGGATTCCACTCTGATTTTCAGAAATGAAGAAAATAACAGAGAAATTAGAGCTCTTAATTTATAGCCAAAATCAAAAGAGAAGAGACAATTCAGAGAGGGGAAGGAAGAAGCTGAGAGGGTTGTAGTGTCGAACACTTACTTTTAGGAACAGAGTGTCCCTTAGACTTCTGGTGAGTTGCCCAGAGCCTCTTCAGTTTCAATCCAAATGAGAATGCTTCTCTGAGTCCTCCTCAAGTAATTCACTAAAAATTGGATCTACAAGAGCTCAGATGTACTGGTAAAAAATATCAGGGGGCCCCATGGGGGCCTCAAGCCTCTTTTAAACTAGGCCCACTTCTCTGTCCTGGGCCAACTCCCCTGTGCACTATATTCCTTCTTTTTCCAGGTGCCAGGTATTCAGCCTGTTTCTTCTCTTCTGAGCTGCCACCACCTACTCTATTTCTCAGGGTTCCTCTAATCCCAAGACTGGCTGTGGAGTAGGACACCAGCTTCCCCCCTTCCTTGCTGTCCCTGCAAATAAACATATAGGCTCTTCTAGTTTCAGTATTTTTCTAATGGCTACAAAGAAAATAGAGGGAACAACAAAAAGCAACAATTTCATACCAGAGATTAAGATTATAATAACCATCTCCACTTTAAAATTCCTGCCTCCAAAAACCAATTTTTCTGAAAATTGTCTATTGAGCATTTTTAAAAGTGGAAAATACTAACATAGATATACAAACATAATGTGAACCAATTCCCACCTTATATAAAGATATTCTGCTTTTCAAAAATATTTAAATCACAGTTCCAAAAATAGTTACCACATTCATTTTAGCAAACAGGTACTTTTTTATTAGAATGTTCTGTTACATTCCCTTGAATTTTGTAAATTTTTGAAAATGTTCTTTTTAAAGGATATTATGGAAAATTTCATCCAATGAAAATGGGAATATGCGAAAAGCATACTACGATTTACAAAAAGACTTATGTCCAAAGCAGCCAGCTTCATTCACTGAGTAAATCTTAGTGTTAAATTACTGCCAACCATTTCTGAATCTACATTTTAAAAATTTAATAAAATATTCTAAATGGTGCTTAAAAATCTGAATAGCTCATTTTTAGAAATCTAATTTCTACTGAACATATAAATCTAAAGTCAATTTTGTGTTAGTGTTTTTTAAAACAACAGTATATCACATTAGTATGCTTCTATTCTTGTGGTAATTTAGTTTGTAACAGATTCTGTGATATCAAAATACATGTTAACTCAATATCAAGCTATAAATCACAGGATTATAATAAATTAACTTAAAAACTACCTTCCTATAAAGGCGAAGGAACTCTGTAACTAAGTGCTGGCATATCAAGACTGTCACTGACTTGGAATTTCCTGGATGATTTTCTTTACCCAGTAAATGAACTTAAGTGTTTCTGTAAAAGACTGAATTGTTGCAAGCTTACAATAAAATAAAGACTGAAAATAGACAGAGATCAAGTCATCTCATTGGTATATAGTCTAACAGATTGCCATTTGATCAAACTAAAGATATTCAGATACTTTCGGTAAAAAATGTGTCCGTGACTGGGCTCATCTCCAACTACCTATTTATAAAATATTAAAGAACTGGAATACAAACACGAAGCAAAACCTCGATCTGACCCTTCCAGACGTCTGCATAAAAAAGGAAGTTAAACCTATCCTGTATTCTATAACCAAGTAGTTTACTTTGAAGAACGACAGTAAATTACATCTTTTGCTCCTAAACAGGAGGTCTTCATGGTTTTTCTTTGGTTCCGACACACTAACACAACAATGCAGCCAACACTATTACATCCGGAACGTGTGTGGGGTGGGTGGGTGGGGTGGGGTGGGGTGGGGGGGAGGACATTACACCTAGTGACACCAATTGAATCCAAGTCGCTACTGCCTCCCTTCAATAATTTATTCCCTCTTGGCAGCAAAAGACGTTACGGCCTCTTCAATTACCCCTCACCGCAAACCATGGCTGGGGTCGCGATCAATCTGACCCAATTCCTATCGCGGCCGCCCCCTCCTTCTGGCCTCCTCTCGCCGCGCCTGCGAGTGTCACGGAGGGGGGACGCGGGGGCGCGGGGGCGTCCTCGGCGGGCGCCGCGACCCGGCCGGCGGGCGGGCGGCGCGCGGGGCAGGCGCGGGACTCACCGGGTGGAGGTGCCCTTCCGCACATCGCACATCATGCACTTGAAGGCCTCGGCGCTGTTCCGGAAGGTGCAGACGCTACAGTCCCAGTAGCCCTCGTCCGAGGACGGCTTCGGCTGCCGCTTCGGCCTGCGGGACACAAGCCGGACACGACGCCCCGTGGGGTCACCAGCAGGCCGCGCCCGGCGCCCCGGCCCGCGGCCGCCCGCCCCGCCCCGCCCCCTGCCCCAATTCCGCGACCCCGGCCCCGCGGGCCCGGCCGCCGCTCGGCTCGGAGGGGGAGGGGAGCCAGGAAGGGGGAGGGCGCGAGCGCGGTGCAGTCGCCGCTAACCCTGCCCGCCGCCGCCGCCGCCGCCCGCCCTGACACCCCAGGCTGCCGCCATCGCGGCTCCATTGTGGGGCGGCCGGCGCCGGCCCCTCGCGCGGAGCAGCGGCGTCGCCCCCGTTCTCGCCCCGCTGGCTGCCCGCAGCCCGGCGCGAGGGCCCCGCCGCCCGCCCGGTCCGGTCCGGGCCCGGGGGCCGGGCGCCGTTACCTGGTGGGGCTCTTCTTGTCTCCCATGGCTTGGCTACCGATGCTCGCCGAGAGTCGCCGCCGCGGCCGCGCTGTTTGTCAATACGGAGGAGAATAAGCCGGGCGGAAGCGGGCGGGGAGGAGGAGGGGGCGGGGAGGGCCGCAGCGCCGCGCTCCGAGCCGCCGCCGGATCCCACGCAGCCTCCAGCTGTCGGGGAAACTCCTGCCCGGGCCACGTGACCCGCGCCCGCCAACCAGCGGCCGCGCCCGCGACTTCAAACGCGGCCAGCGCGGTCCGGCACCGCGGCGAGTTCGCGGGCGGGCGGCGTGGGGGTGACGCTGCGGCCTGGGCGCCGCCGCCCCGCCCGCCCCCCTCGCCCGCTCTCCCCGCCTCCACGAGGCACCCCGGGCGAGCGGGGGCCGCCACGCGCTCGCGAGCCTCTCTCCGTCCCGCGGGCTGGCGGGGGATGCTCGGTCCTCCCGGGGAGCTTGGTCCTGGCCGGGGCCGGTGTCCGGAGGTCCGCCCAGCTCGGGGCGGGCGGGGGCGTCTGCGGGGGAACCGCTTTCCCAGGTTCGGCCTCCTGGGCTCCTCGGACCCAGCCCGGAGGATGCCTGGGGGGCACGGGAGCCAACCTTGAGCGCTGTGGCTGGGGCCTGAGAATACTGTCTGGTTTACCAAGTAGGGAATTTCGCGCTCAACTCAGAGGAAATGAAACCGAGGTTCACAGGAGGTTCGATGACTTCCTCTGCGTTACATAATTAGAAGATAACAGCCAGGAATCTAACCCTGGTTTCAGTTACACAGGCGCTACTTTGGCTTCCCAGGCCTCCGCAGTAGCTTTAAAAAATATTTTTAAAGTACTCATTAGTCCCTTTTTTAAAAATAACGGTTTGGCTCAGTGGACAGAGCTTGAACTGCGTACTGACGGGTCCCGGGTTCATTCTAGTCAAGGGCACATGCCCGGGTTGCGGGCTCAGATCGTGCAGGAGGGAGCCGATGGATGAGTCTCTCTCATCATTGCTGTTTCTATCTCTCCCTCTTCCCTCCTCTCTGAAGTCAATAAAAATATTTTTTTAAAAAAATAAATAAAAATAATGGGTTTACATGCGCCGGCACACGATCTCTTGACTAAAAAGAGAAGACCTTCCTCCCGGGTCTCATTAATTATCTCAACCTACTGGATGCCCGCTTCTTGGACTTCAGTACTAGACTCTAACAACAGCCATCTAACTAGTCTCTGAACCTCCAGCCCCAAGTGCCCAATCTATTTAATAATCCACAACCAGATAAGTAATACAATGCTGGCAATGTGCCGCTACTGATCAGGGTTTTTCCTGAGGCTGCTTAGTCTGGCATTGAGGACTCCCACTCCTCCCTACCTCCCACCTGGTTCCCCATCAGAAGGCTGCCTCGCGGTAAAGACTGCAGAGGAAATTCATTATCTCCCCAAACCCTTCCTTCACAGACATAGCTTACTCCTGCATAAAACATTTCCCTCTTCTCTGTGACCATATGTTTCTGCGTCTTTATAGAGTCCCAGCAAGTCTAAATTATTGAAAAATAATAACCTTACACCTAAACGGGCTTCGGTGAACTACGAAGGAAACAGAAGTCCGGGTCTCGGCCTACTTTCCCTGTTGAGACCTGGGGAAACTGTGTGCTTAATTTCTGTAATTCTCAGCTTTTACATCTGCAAAATGGCATCTCTATTTATGGGGTTGTGTGATTGCTAATAAAATAACATTTTTTAGCACTCTATGCCAGGCACTTTGTAGCTCTCTTTACACAAATGCACATTTTAAAGAACTCCAAGTACTATGCAAATGTTCTCATCAACTAGCCTATCCCTTCATTTGAAAGACAAGGAACTTAGAGCCCTGGTTAAGTGGTTTTTCTTTCATGAACACGCCAGGATTAGAGCTCAGATTTCCTATTAGACGTTCACCAACCCTGCTTTCTCATTAATCATATCACCCCATTTACAGCAATCTCTGAACTCACTGCACCATCTGTAATTCTTGCAAGTGTCACTTCTTGAGACTCAGACCTTGATTCAGAAGCGCAGAAACCGTAAGGAATATGATTGACCAAAGCATACATTGACCAAAGCATACAAAATCTAAGGCCTTGTCTTCAATCTCTCAGCAATGCAATGGTTAAACTTAGGCTAGCAACTTCTTTTTGCCGATCTGTAAAATAAAGGAGTTAAAACTGTTCTCAACTAACGTCCCTTCAAGCCTAAGACATTGTGATTTTTTTTTAATCCCTCAACTGGCTGGATCCTCCAGGAAACTGACAAGAATTGTGGTCTACTTGTGAAAATAATGGCAACAATTAAAAAGCCAATCATACTTTAGAAGCTTGATTTGGGGGGAGCGTGGTTCAGATTAGTTGGTTGGTGCTTTGTTTTTGCAAAATGGAGATACTTTGTTGATTATAAAATCTATGTTACCATTGTATTAGTTTCTAGGGTGCCAAAACAAAATACCCACAGTCTGAGTGACCTAACAACAGAAATTTATTTTATAATTTTGGAGGCTAGATTATGGCAGGCCTGGTTTCTTCTGAGGCCTCTCTCCTTGGTTTATAGATGGCTGCCTTCTCTCTGTGCCTTTAGGTAGTCTTCCCTCTGTGTGAATGTGCCCTAATATCTTCTTATAAGGACGCCAGTCATTTTGGATTAGGGCCTACCCTAATGACCTCATTTTGCTTTAACTACCTCTTTGAAGACTGTCTCCAAATACAGTCACATTCTGAGGTACTGGTAGTTAGGACTTCAGCATGAATTCAGCCCATAACACCAGGACAAAAATTTCAGCAAAGATTTTTTTTAAAAATTAACATATCCAGTACATTCTTGGAACATTACTAGTACAGGTTCACAATCTTCATCTCAAACCCTTAAGCCTGGATACACTTTTAAAGTAAGATATTTTGGGATTTTCAAAAGGCAGTAGGTTACAAATATAATTACCGAACTCTCTGAGTGGGTTCTGAAGCAGTATCCCATAATCAAATGCATTAATATTTATGCAAAACATAAATATTCACACTATATTGAAAAAAAAGTCTATAAATCACTTTCCATCAGTTCTACTCAGGTTTTACTACTAAATGATTACAAGCCAGGTAAAATATGAAGATGCTTTCAATTTTCAGTGCTTTTTAGATTACAGGATTCTTATGGAAAAAGGATGTTCACCTGTAAGAATTTGAGGGCAAATTAAGAATGAAAATATTAAGATTAAAAACATCCACATTCTCTGACACAGCAGTTCCACTTTGGGGAATATATCCTCCTAAGGATACAACCTCAATTGCATGAAAAGCTTTTGCTCATCCAGCCAGTGTGGCTCAATGGATGAGCGTTGACCTATGAACCAGGAGGTCAAGGATCAATTCTGGTCAGGGCACATGCTTGGGGTTCAGGCTTGATCCCAGTAGAGGGTGTGCAGGAGGCAGCCTATCAATGATTCTCTCTCATCATTAATGTTTCTATCTCTCTCTTCCTTGCTCTCTGAAATTTAAAAAAAAAAAAAATTTTTTTTAAAGCTTTTGCACCCTAGCCAGTTTTGCTCAGTGAATAGAGCGTTGGCTTGCGGACTGAAGGGTCTTGAGTTTGATTACAGTCAAGGGCACATACCTCGACTGCAGGCTCTATCCCTGTGGAAGCCAATGGATGTGTCTCTATCACTTCGATGCTCCCCTCTCTCTGTCTCTCCCCCTGCATTCCACTCTCTCTCTAAAAAAAAAAAAAAAAAAAAAAAAATCAAAGGGAAAATATCCCCGGGTAAGGATTAACAAAACAAACAAACAAAAAAAGCTTTTGCACAGAGACAGTCATTGCAGTTATTTTAATAAACATTGAAAATAGCCTGAAAGCCCATCAGAAGAGGAATAGTTAAATAAATAATGATCTAACAACAACAACAAAAAAACCCCTGGATTTTAATCAGTCACTAAAAATGATGTTGAGAATCTCAATAGACATTTTTTCAAGGCACACATACAGATGGCCAACAAGTACATGAAAAGATGCTCAACATCATTATTTATAAGGGAAATGCAGATTAAAACCAGTGAGATAGCACATCACACCTGTTAGAATGGCTCTTACAAAAAGACAGGAAATAACAGGTGTTGGTCAAAATGTGAAGAAAAAGGAACCCTTGTGCACTGTTGATGGGAATGTAAATTGGTGCATCACTATGGAAAACAGTATGGAGTTTCCTCAAAAAATTAAAAAAATAGAACTATAGTACCATCCAGCAATTCCACTTTGGGTGTTTATCCGAAGAAAATGAAAATACTAACTCAAAGAATATACACCCCCATGTTCATTGCAGCATGATTTACAGTAGCCAAGATATGAAAACAAATTAAGTGTTCATTGATGAATGAATGAAGAAATTATTTAAATATACGCAATGGAATATTATTCAACCATACAAAAGAATAAAGTCTCACCAGTTGCGACAACATGGATGAACCTTAAGGGCATTATGTTAAGTGAAATAATTCAGACAGAGAAAGACAAATACCATATGATCTCACTTATCTGTGAAAACTAAAACTAAAACAGAACAAGCTTATACGTAGATACAGAGAATAGATTGGTGGTTGCCAGAGGTGGGGGAGGGACTGGAAAATAGGCAAAAGGTGCAAACTTCCAGTTACAAAATAAATGTTATGGATGTAATGTATAGCATGGTGATAATAATGATACTGTATTGCATATTTGAAAATTGCTAATAGTAGATCTTAAAAGTTCTCATCACAAGAAAAGAATTCTGTAACTATGTATGGTGATGGATGTTAACTAGACATAGTGTGGTGATAATTTTGAAGATATACAAGTATCAAATCATTATGTTAAACACCTAAAACTAACATAATGTTATGTCAATTGTACTTCAATTAAAAATAAAATAAAATGGCACTAACTCAAAAATAAATAAATGTAGGGTAAGCATTGTTTGTTGCGCTGCATATTATCTTTTTTCTAATATATTTTTATTGATTTCAGAGAGGAAGGAAGAGGGAAAGAGGGATAGAAATATTAATGATGAGAGAGAATTATTGATCGGCTGCCTCCTGCAAGCCCTCCGCCCCCTACTGGGGATCAAGCCGGCAACCCAGGCATGTGCCCTGACCAGGAATGAAACCTGGGACCCATCAGTCCACAGGCTAATGCTTTATCCACTGAGCCAAACAAGATAGGGCTGCATATTATCTTT